GATCGTTTTTGGATAGTTTTTGGATAGTTTTTGATAGTTTTTGGGTAGTTTTCAGATAGTTTTTGGGTCGTTTTGGATAGTTCTTGGATAGTTTTTGAATAGTTTTTGGGTCGTTTTTTGATGTTTTTGGGTTGTTTTTGGATAGCTTTTGGATAGTTTTTGGATAGCTTTTGGATAGTTTTTGGATAGTTTTTGGATAATTTTTGATAGTTTTTGATAGTTTTTGATAGTTTTTGGATAGTTTTTGTTTAGTTTTGGATAGTTTTGAATAGTTTTTGGATAGTTTTTGGATAGTTTTTGGATAGTTTTTTAATAATTTTTGGATAGTTTTGGGATAGTTTTGAATAGTTTTTTGATGGTTTTTTGATAGTTTTTTGATAGTTTTTGGGTAGTTTTTCATAGTTTATCAATAGTTTTTGGATAGTTTTTAGATAGTTTTTGGATAGTTTTGTAATATTTTTTGGATAGTTTTGAATAGTTTTTGATAGTTTTTTGATAGTTTTTTGTTATTTTTTGGATAGTTTTGGGTAGTTTTTCGATAGTGCTTTGAATAGTTTTTGGATAGTTTTTGGTTAGTTTTTGGATAGTTTTGGATCGTTTTTGAATAGTTTTTGGATAGTTTTTGGATAGATTTTGGATAGTTTTTTGATAGTTTTAGGTAGTTTTTGAAAGTTTTTTGATAGTTTTTGGACAGTTTTTTGGATAGTTTTTGGATAGTTTTTGGATAGTTTTTGAAAAGTTTTTGGATAGTTTTTAGATAGTTTTTAAATAGTTTTTGGATAGGTTTTGGATAGTTTTTGGAACGTTTTAGGATAGTTTTTGGATAGTTTTTGGATAGTTTTTGAATTGGTTTTGGATTGTTTTTGGATAGTTTTTGGATCGTTTTAGGATAGTTTTAGGATAGTTTTTGGATAGTTTTTGGATAATATTTGGATAGTTTTTGGATATTTTTTTGGATAGTTTGTGGGTCGTTTTTTCGTATATCTTCTGCTATAGTGTCAAAATTTTAAATAGTTGAAAAGAAAAGGTTTAGAATAAACAATTTTCTATTCTATTCTATTCTATAAAATACATTAGTTATTCTATTCTTCTAAATGTCTACCCGGGAAGAAAATATAAACTAAAGACGACCCTAAAACGACACACCTGAAGGCACATCAATATAATCTGTCTATGCAAAGTTCTAATCTCTGTTTGTCTGACTGTCTGTTTGTTTGCCCGATCAAAACTCAGGAACCCTGGACCGATTTGCCTAAAATTTTGATTTGGGAACTTGGTAGACTCCAAGGAATGTGCTAAGCTTGGTTTTAAGATTTACGTTGAGTGGGTTGACTTTAATAGCGAAAATTTGGTTTCCCGGTAAAATCGTTCAAGAGCGGGAGTAACTTTTAGTAACCTGGGCAGGGCCAAAGTGAATAAATACTAAAGTGGACCAAACTCATAGTTGGATGACGACATTTTATGTCCCAAGTATTTAGAAATATGTATGTATATATATATAAATAGGTCNCTATCTTCTTGCATTTGAAGGTGTATATTTTGTTACCAATGAGGTGCACTGTTTAATTATTCCTTACCTTATATCCCAGCAAGGAAAAGCTAATTTTGTAGCAAATAAAAGATTTAATTTGTCGGTTTATTTTTCTTGATAGTAATGTGCTGTTGTAAACTTAAATTGTCTAATAACATTAAAGCTCACATCTCAGAACCATCCTCCATGCATTTTATTGGTAATTAGACTGTAGGCGTCATTTACAGTGACCCTTCATCTACAGAGGACCATTCCAGGTTCACAACGGTAACCTTTAAACCTTGATCTCATCAATAATGTGGAAGAAAATTTTGTTTTTCAAGCTTGAAAAGTGTATAATTATGAACAATTTCATTTTCAAAAAAGAAGATAATGGATGTCTTATCATACGCATTATTGATCAGTAAAAGCTGTTAAGGGTACCGTTGTGTTTCGAACATGCCAATCCGTAAATTTAGATTCACTTGAAATTACATCTTCACCTTACAGCTTCTCAAAAAATGTGATAAAAATCTTTACTATTTCAAACTTAAATTTTGAAGGTTTACATCTATCTCAAAAAGTATAAAAAGGGCTTTTCAGATTTGTTTAAAACACTGTTCTTTAACCTACCTATCTGGCTTATAAATTTTAAAAAATTTCAAAGAAAATACTATATTTTTAATCGGCTTGGAGAGTGGCATTCCAGCGCTGCCAAGGTTACTAAAAGTTACTCCCGCCGTTTACCCGCACTTGAACGATTAAAGTCGATCCACTCAGCTTAGAATCTCAAAACTAAACTAAGAACATTCCGGTGGGTCTCCCGAGTTCCCCAATCAAATGTTGAGGCAAATCGGCCTAGGGGTTCATAAGTTATAATCTAACAAACAAACAGACAGACAAACAGAGATTACAACTTTTTACATATAGATTACATGAAATTCAAAATGTTTTAGGTTGGTGTAAATTTCAAAAATGAGAGTTTTAGGTTACCTAAAACAAATTGGACAGTTGTCATTGAAAATTATTAATTTCTATGATGTCATCAAATTCTTTCCGTACTAAAATTTCAAAAGGTCATTTGGAGTTAAATAAGTAGATTGTTTTTTTTTTACCAACCAACAATTTTACGAAGAAAGTTCGTAATTTAAAAAAATATCCCTATTTGTTAAAAATATCCCTATTTGTTAAAAAATATCCCTATTTGTTAAAAAATATACCTTGTTGTTAAAGAATTTCCTAGTTGTTGAAACAATATCCCTAGTTGTTAAAAAATATCCCTAGTTGTTCAAAAAAATATCCCTATTTCTTAAAAAATATCCCTATTTGTTAAAAAATATCTCTATAAGTTGTTTAAAAATATCCTTATTTGTTAGAAAATATCCCTAAATGTTCAAAAATTTCCTAGTTGTTAAAAGATATCCCTAGTTGTTAAAAGATATCCCTAGTTGTTAAAAAAAATATTCCTAAATGTTAAAAAAATTTCCTTAGTTGTAAAAAAAATTCCTAATTGTTCAAAAATTTCCTAGTTGTTAAAAAATATCCCTAGTTGTTAAAAAAAATTCGCGATTTAAATTAGTCTTTCTTATTTATAAAAGGAAATTTGTAATGTCCCTTAGTTGTTAAAAAGTGTCCCTTAGCTGTTAAAAAATGTCCCTTAGTTGTTAAAAAATGTCCCTAATTTTTGTTTTAAATGCGTGATTTAAAACAACCTTCCTTCATTTAAAAAAGAAAATTCGTAATTTCAAAAAAATGTCCCTTATTTTTAATAAACTACGTTTGTGTAAAAAACAAATATCGTGATTCAGAAAACGAAAGAAATAATGGAGTGTCTAGCTTAAATCGGTTCATTTACTGGCTCCATGCAAATCCAAATCTATAATTTTGTTTATTTTGTTTATATATCAACCATATGCTGCCAGCTCTGCGAACATATTTACAATAAAAAATTTAATATTTCTTCAATTTATATAGTCCACTGGATGTGCTATAGGAGGGGGTGAATAAATCTGTATTGTTTCTAATCTTTCTATCTATAGGGGGTCTAGAGAACAAGATTTACATACAGGGTGTTTTTTTAATTCTTTTATTTTTGAGAAGCTTGTATTTTAACCATTTCAAAAAAATCTTTTTGATTTAAAAATGTTCTGAGTAGCTTATTAATGAACGTTTAATGATCCGTAAAGAAAATCCGGGAAATAAAAACATGAAAATCTGCGATTTTATATTTTCTGTCAAATCATATTTTCACCAAAAATCATGTTTTCTGGAGGGTTGGACCAGAAATAATGCTCAGATCTTTCTGGAATTTTAAAACAACCTAGGCCTGCAGTTGTAGACAGGGTTCCTAAAAACTACAGCTAGGGTTGAAAAATGAGGGCGCGTTAAAAATCCCCTCGCTCATTTCAAAGTATAGATCAAATCTTCCCCTCCAGAACCAGTTGGTGTGATATAGAGATCGGAGGCCATTTTGATCATTTAATGAAGAAACAACAAATTTGTTGCTATCTCCAAATGTCCATATTAAAAAAAACACCCTGTAAATATGAAGATTGAAGAACTTGGGGCCCTAAAATATGAATACAATGTTGTTCTGAATTTTTACAAATTTTAAAAAACCTTGAAATTATCTTAATTTACCGCAAAGGAATTTAGTCTTTGCCACAAACTCTGATTTTCTTATCCCATATCTTTGCAACCTAATACGTTGGAGACATAAGATATTTCAAACTATAAGTCGGTTAGATTAAATAATCTAAGTTTAAAATATCAAAGGTTTACACCATCATGTTTCCAAGATATAGAAAATTTGAGTTTGTTACAAAAGCTGAGCTCCTATTTTCAGGGACTGTAGACGCAATTTCAAGTGAACCTTTATCTAGAAAGTGGAATGCCCGGTTTACGATGCGGCCCATTTAAAAAATTTGCCTGATTTAGAATGCATAGGAAATATAAAACTCCTCTGTACAAATTTTTTATTATCAATGGAAGAAATTCTAACACTTCTCAAAAGCCAGAAAACATAAAACATAAAAAAGATAAAGGTTTAAATTTTACCGTTGGACGACCCCTTTAAATTGAAGGTCATCTAGAATTTAAACCCCAGTCCCTTTAACAGAAACCTATAAATTTTCCAATTTTTTCTTTACTCTTCGGTCTTTCGGTGGCGTTCAGTAAAAAAAAATTTTGTTACGTCTAATCCGTCGATTTGAGCAGTATGTGAAAGGACTTTAACTTATATCGGGTTTTTGAATCCTAAATCTTATTTTAGAAGAAAATCTATACTGCTATGCGTAGCTGATCCTTAGAACTCAGTCTGACGCACAACCCAAACCAAAAACATAATAAAGCAAATTATTCCAGAAATCATGTATTCCCATACTGCTTTCCGTTTCTTATTAATGTCGATCTGAACTATATCTTATAGTAAGGTGATACATTCTTCTTGAGCTTCAAAACAGTTTGTTAGACTACTGTATCAATATATATTTTTCAGGGGAACCTGACAGATCCAATATACAGTTTGGACCGGAGAGATGATACACACTCAGGGGTTCATTGGAAGAATAAGATGATCAAAGATAGAATGGAATTCAATCTTATGCTGGTAAGATACTATAACAATAAGATTATCAAAGATAGAATCATATTTTGGTAAGATACTATCGGAAGAATAAGACGATCAAAGATAGAATGGAATTCAATCTTATGCTGGTAAGATACTATTAGTAGAATAAGATGATCAAGGATAGAATAGAATTCAATCTTTTGCTGGTAAGATACTATTAGTAGAAGAAGATGATCAAAGATAGAATGGAATTCAATCTTTTGCTGGTAAGATACTATTAGAAGAATAAGATGATCAAAGATAGAATGGAATTCAATCTTATGCTGGTAAGATACTATTAGTAGAATAAGATGATCAAAGATAGAATNCCCCCCCCCCCCCCAGCTTAACCTAACAAGCATTGAGAGGTATTTAGAACAAAGTTTCTAATTCAAGAAGTGCATTCAAGAGGCAAACTTAGATAAACTTAGAAACTAAACTAAAACAGTTCAATGTTTCTTGCTGAGTATGCTACTTTTTTTTCGAAAGAACAAGCAAAAAATATTCTTTGACATCATCTATCTATATAATAAAGCTCATCGCTCATATACATATTCATATATGTTAGCTAAAGCTGGCCAAACAGCTGGACCAATGGGCTGACAGTTTTTAAGGAAACCTATGGGTACCCGGGGGGTGACAAAAAAATTAAGTTTCTCTTCGGGCACTTCAGCTAGTTTGTGATATATTTATAAAATACTTATTTAATTATTTATTTATTTCTTTCAAAATTTTGATTATCGGTACTTATTAACTAGACAAAAAATTTCAAGGATATTCTAATAAATCAAAATACAAGAAACAAAATTCTAATGGGGCAAAGCAATATTAATATATAATATTAACTAGTGAATAAAAAGTTGTTCACCTGTTTTATTTTATCCCCATTTCCTGGGAATAAGAAGTCTACTTTACAGCTGAAAGATGTATCTGCAAGGTCCTTGATTTTCAAAAATTTTGGAAAAGGATTTGAGTCTTTGATACAAAGTCACATATTCTTCTATTCCCAATTTCTTTGGACATTGGGTTGCATTGCACAGATATAAGGATTTTGAAATGAGAGTTTGTGAAAAAAAAAACTCAATTAATTTTCTTGGCGTTTTTGCTGCTATGTATCTAAGTATCTAGAAAGAAATGTCAAGTATCTAGAAAGAATGTCAAGTATCTAGAAAAAAATGTCAAGTATCTAGACATATCTAGTATCTATAAAGAATGTCAAATATCTAGAAAGAAATGTCTAGTATCTAGAAATAAATGTCTAGTATCTAGAAAGAAATGTCAAGTATCTTGAAAGAAATTTCCAGTATCTAGAAAGAATGTAAAGTATCAAGATAGAAATGTCAAGTATATAGACATTATGTCTAGTATCTAGAAAGAAATGTCAAGTATCTAGAAAGAATGTAAAGTATCAAGATAGAAATGTCAAGTATCTAGAAATTATATCTAGTATCTAAAAAGAATGTCAAGTATCTAGATATTATATCTAGTATTTAGAAAGAATGTCAAGTTTCAAGAAAGAAATGTCTAGTATCTAGAAAGAAATGTCTGTTGTCTAAAAAGAAATGTCAAGTATCTAGAAATTATATCTAGTATCTGAAAAAAGTGTCAAGTATCTAGAAAGAAATGTCTAGTGTCTAGAAAGAAATGTCTAGTGTCTAGAAAGAAATTTCTGGTGTTTAGAAAGAAATGTCAAAAATATAGAAAGAAATGTCAAGTATCTAGAGATTATATCTAGTATCTAGAAAGAGTGTCAAGTATCCAGAAAGAAATTTCTAGTATCTAGAAAGAAATGTCAAGCATCTAGAAAGAAATGTCAAGTATCTAGAAAGAAATGTCTAGTGTCTTGAAAGAAATGTCAAGTATCTAGAAATTATGTCTATTAGCTAGAAAGAATGTCAAGTATCTAGAAATTATATCTAGTATCTAGAAAGAGTGTCAAGTATCTATAAAGAAATAGAAATAGAATATTAGGTATCCAGTTAGAATGTCTAGTATATATAGGGTGAGTCAAAAAAAAATGTGATTCACGGCGCCTGGTGCAAAATTGTACCTTTTTTTGCACCAGGCGCCGCAAATCACACTTTTTTGACTCACCCTGTAGATAGAGTGTCTAGTATCTAGAAAGAATGTCAAGTATCTAGAAAAGAATGTGAAGTACATTGAAATGTGTTACAAACTTTTAATCTAATCCCATCCCAATACAATATTAATAGAAAGATAGCTCCATGTTACATTCTGACACTTCAGTTCAAAAACTTTAAATTGAAACTTTTGTCGTTGTATTCCTCTTTAGATATTTCTAGAAGAAGCTAAGATTTTAATATTGTTAATATGTAAACTAAAAATGTTAATATGTAAACTAAAATGAAAATGAATTTTCTTCTGTTATATTTTCATAAGAAAAACGTGGAGCTAATATAAAATAAAACTAATCATCATTTTGTGAAAAACGAGTTTTAAAGGAAAAATTGGTGCAGAACTCATACAATGGGTTGACTGTGAACTTTTTTTGTAACTGCCGTTAAAATTAACACTAAAAAAGTTCGAAACTCAATTAATTAAAGTCATTTTTTCCTGATAAGTTACATTGCTGTGAACAATTCTATGACTTTTCTTAGGATACTTTTTTCCAAATACTTTTTTGTTTTAAGTAAACGTGAATAAATTTTACAAAATGATATAATTTACAGGGAGTATTTTGTAAACATCTATAATAAATGTAAAAGAATGTAAATGTAACAGAATTTCATTTTGTTATTTTATATATTTTAAAACAGTCCGGGTTTCTTGTTCTTTCATCTCTCAAGAAACCAAAAATATTAGAATTAAAGACAAGGGTTTTGTTTGAAGAAAAAATTATATTTTAAAGAGTCAAATGTTCGATTCACAATGTTACTCTTTTAATATGATCTAGTATGAATGATAAATCCTCATTTTCTAGCTGAAAGTTGATTTTTGAAACTGTAATTCTAAAAAGGATAAAAAATTAAGATTTAATTTTACATTTATTTTTAGGAATCTGAGAGACTCGGTGTTCTTATAATCAACAAATTAAGGGAAATAAAATTAAGTTTTTTTTAAATCACAAAACATCTGAGATCACTTTTATCTTTAAGCTTGAGATTTTTTGTACAGTAGGATCAATAAAACTTAAAAATAATACGGCTGTAAGACAGCAAGACAATTAAACAAAAAATAGCATCATCTGTGCAGTGTACTCAGACCCATTCCACTTAATAAGTTTATTTTTTATCATTTTATTTTCATATTACAGGCCTGAGGACCAAAGTGTATACAGGTATATTAAGCAACATATCAATAGATAATATAATAACTATTAATTAAATAAACTTTACGGGGAATTTTACTTTATCAAGAGTTCCCTAGACCAATTTTACTCCAGATGTTACCCCCATCTTTAATATTTGCTTTATTTTAACTTGTAAATGTTATTAAACCTGCAAGCGTTTTCTTTCCGATATTTTAAAAGATAAAACTAACAATTTCGCATTTTTTCTAAATTTTATTGGTAAATTTTCAAATTTGAAATATTGAATATTTCGGGCCAAATGTGTTGAGTTCTTTTGATGTTTATTGGAAGCAAGCAAATCTTTAATGATTTCGTCTTTTGAAATCAATTAGACATTGATAAGTATACGTATATCTATATTGTTTAATATATTTGACAAGTTTTGTCGCCAGAATACGATCCAATGCTTATTCTTAATTTATACTCTGTCCTATATAAGTTGTATACTTCAAATACATTACAATGTGAGTTCTCATTACGTTAAGCTACCCTCGACGTCGTATATATCAATACAAGGAAGACGACTTTAAGTTTCTGCTTTTCATCTCGACCAAGCTTTGAAACAGAATGGATACACAAAAACATATGGGGAAAATGAAGTTGTCAAATAACACCTTCTCTTTGTTTACTAGTAAACTCGTAATTTGAACAAAGTTTTTAAGAAATAAAGCTTAAATAGAAAAGTTTTCTTCATTGTATTAATTTGAACGCCGACCACTGCATGTAACTACCACAAAGGAATATTTTCAGTCATAGTTTTATATATCATTCATTAGTTTTATATATTATTCAATAGTTTTATATATCATTCAATAGTTTTATATATCACTCAATAGTTTTATATATCATTCAATAGTTTTATATATCATTCAATAGTTTTAAATATTATTCAATAGTTATACATATCATTCAATAGTTTTATACATCATTCAATAGTTTTATATATCATTCAATAGTTTTAAATATCATTCAATATTTTTATATATCATTCAATTGTTTTAAATATCATTCAATAGTTATACATATCATTCAATAGTTTTAAATATCATTCAATAGTTTTATATATCATTCAATAGTTTTATCATTCCATAGTTTTATATATCATTCAATACTTTTATATATCATTCAATAGTTTTATATATCATTCAATTGTTTTATATATCATTCAATAATTTTATATATCATTCAATAGTTTTATATATCATTCAATAGTTTTATATATCATTCAATAGTTTTAAATATCATTCAATACTTTTTATATATCATTCAATAGTTTTATATATCATTCAATAGTGTTATACATCATTCAATAGTGTTATATATCATTCAATACTTTTATATATCATTCAAAAGTTTTATATATCATTCAAAATCCGTAAAAATTGTGCAAACGACGTTTTACACTAAATTATCAAAACATACAAAGCATAGCAAAACAAAGATGCATAAAATAGAAAAATAGTAAATTAAACATCTAATGTGTACTGGCAATAGGCTAAGACTTGTGCTGGGCAAAGTTCTGTTAACGGAACAGAGGTTTAAGAAAGTTAGCGGAAGAGTCCGTTAATGAACGGCAAAAATCGTAATTTTCAAACCGTTAACAAAACGGATTTGCCGTTTTTGAAAAATAATTACGGATTGAAAACGGAAACGGAGGAGATTTTTTTAATCAATCATTAAAATAAAGTTAACGACTGCACCATTAACGATTTCATAACCATTACCGATTTATTTTTAGCACGTTGTGCCATTCATAATAAATTTCTTTAGCCGTTAAAGATATTTTTTCGGCGCTCAATAACTGTAACATCGTTAACAAAATTGAGATCGTTCATTAACGGTAATTTAAAAAAAAACGGTAAATGTCATTAACAAAACAAACGTCCCGATCTTACCTTTAAAATTAACGGCTGCATGAAATTTTCTTTTTTAACGGTTGGAACTAACCGTTGACGAAGCAAGTAGAACGTGACCAGCCTTAGCTAAGAATCATTGTAATTTTAACCATGACCTCTTGATTACCTTGCACAGTCATATCTTTGTTCATAAATATTACTAATTAATTCTTATTACTCATTAATTCTGACTGGGCATACCTATTTTTTATATCTGGGAAGTTTAGCATTTAAATTTTAAAAGGTTTATCTGAATTCTGATGAATTTGGTTTTAGTCTGACAAATGTGAGTTTGCGGTGGGTTATTAGAATATTTTAAAATTGTCTCAAGAGTGCAGGATTTATTAACATTTGAACTGAATATTACATTCTCATATTTGCAGAATTACTCCATATTGCAGATATTTTAAAGGTCTAAAATATTTTTAAAGAGCTGGCCTTAAAAAGCTGTACCAGGGACATGTTTCATACTACCATATCTCTTAACTCTTAGGACAAAAGTAAAGGGGGGAACACCGTGAACACCCCCCCCCCTCTAATCCAAATTATACAAGAATAGTCCAACTTGAATAGGGTTACATGTAAAGGAAAAGTTTTTCATGTATATATGATAATAATGGTAGAAAAATTGATAAATATTTGCTATCATGAAAAAGATATGTTGTATGTATGGATCATGGATTAATAACAATACAGATAGAACACTAGATGTCGTCTTTTCAAGAGTTAGGGTTTTACGTCTACAAAAACCCAGAAGCAGTAGCCCAAAGGAGTTACACGCATGCCGCGTTGAATTACATTACAGAGAAAGATCCTGTTTCCTGAATTGCCCCCCCCCCCCTACTCTAACCCAAATTAGGAAAAAAACAGCCAAACCGGGATCCCCGGGAAAGGTTAAACATTCCATATTAATATTAATAACAATACAGATAGAACACTAGAAGCCCAAAGAAGTTACGCGCATGCCGCGTTGAATGACAAGACACAGAGAGAGTATACGCTTAATTCCTTTGGGCTTCTGCCATAGGGTTATTGTGGACGAAACCCCCTAAATCTTGAAAAGACGACATATAGTGTTCTATCTGTATTGTTATTAATCTATATGATACTAATGGTAAACAAATCTGGTAAATATTTAGATGCCGAGTAGACTATAAAGATTTCCCGTCTGTTCAGTCTACCATTAATCTAACAGTTCTAGGTAATATCTAATAAATAGATTATTTATCTTCACGTCTGTACATTCCAGATTTAGAGGGGAGGAAGGCAACAGAGCCAAATAAATTTGATTTTTACTTCCGAGCCTCCACTTTGGTATCGAGAACAGAAAAAAAGATACTTTTTTATTTTGAAAACAAAAAATGTGGGGAGAAAATGAGAAGAATGTAGATCGGGTAGGAAAAAATGTGGCCATTTTAATTTGTAATAACTATTTATGTTTATATTATTAGTCTAATCTAATATCAATCTTTAACAAACAAAAAACTATTTTTTTCTAAGCAAATCCAGTTTTTCTTTGATATGTATAACGGTCAAAATCGTAAATAAAATGTTAAAATTTTTCATTCTGAAATTTTTATAAGAAGTGATTATTTTTAGAATAAGGTTTGATTCTATTTTCCTATTGAATATTTAAGTTTAAAAGTTTATAAAGTTGATCTATAATCCGCCAGCTTTTAAAAAAGGAAATCAAGCAACATTGTATTTTCAAAAATAAACAGTAAGTTTGAAACGTTTAAAGTTTAAAGGGACTGTTTTAAGTTTCGAAGGATTTACAACGGTACTCTTAGAAAAGTTTTCTAAGCAACAATGTATCATTTACTCTCAGACAAATGTAAATGACATTCCTTTGTAAAAAATAACAAATTATTTTTTATTATCTTTAAAAGGGGCGGGATTAAATGAAAATTGTCGCATACCAAAAACCAGCTTTTTATAATGGAATGAGTTTTTATTTACTGCATGAACAGTTTTGAAGTCCTTTTTTTCTCTGCAGCATATTTTGCAAAGAAATCATTTTTGAAAATAATTAATTTCCTTAATTTCCAGAAACAAACAAGGATTGCAGTGGCGTACACAGGGGGTTTCTAGCGAATGCTCATCCCCCAATGTACCAGTAAAATATATGGTTTCCAGGGTTTTTTAAACCCCAACGGGTGCTGAGACCCCTTGGGAATTAAAAAATAAGCCCCCGGAAAAGTTCCTGTATATGCCCCTGAAGAAGTTTTTCATAGTTTTCTACTGAGTCGGATGTTTAAAGTGTAACAGGGCATGCAACTATGTGATTTAAGGAAAGCTTAAAATTTCGTTGGTAGTCCCTTTCAAAAGTGGAACATTTTTGGCGTTAATCTTCAAAAAAGGATATTTGTTGAGTTCATAAATCTGGAAAAGTGTAAAATCTAATGAAAGAGTCTGCTAGCTTTCATTAATTATCTTGCAGTCAGTTAAATTTTCCTTGTTGAAAAAAAGAATTTGACACTGATATGTATTTTTCTTTTGCTGGCCAGGAGTCAGCTGATACTCCCATTCCTCCCCCCATCCCTACCCATTCCCCCCTTCTCCTTGCAGTAAACTGCAGTACAATTGGAGTACCAGGTGGACCTCTGAGCACATGGGTACTGGAATTCCAGTACCCATGTCTAAGCAAGTAGACAAATTCGTAAAAAAAGGAACGAAAACCCGGATGAATTAAAAAAGTGAAAAAAAAATGATAAGAAAAAAAATATTTTTTAGTTCCTCCTGAGAAACATATTCTGATGGAGGCTGAACAGCATAGTATCCCTGGGGGCCGTCCTCCACATTACGACCTCGGAGCAGGACCTCCAAGTGATGACCTTGGATCAGGACCTCCAAGTGATGTAGTCGGAGATCTCAATCTAAAAGTTGAAAACTCTAAGATACTTTCAAATTCTTTGGGAAAATCTTTAGTCATGATCTGCAAAGTTAAAGGAGGTAAAATTAGTTGATGTTTCTGTCTTTAATCCAACCCCCCCCCCCCCTCGGCTCTAAACAGCCTCTAATATACCCATAAGATAATTGGAGACCCTTCTTTAGATCGTTGTCGTATTTTAAACTATTAGAAAAAACCAGGGGTGACTTACTTGTAGTAAATACCGTACTCTTAAAAGTTCGTCCCAAACTGCATCAGTCCAAGTTCAACCTGTCCAATATCAAAGTGAACCAGACTTCAATCCTGTTAAGTATCAACACCACTAGCACCGAGCGCGATCTCGGTAGCTATTCATTATTTAGGCTCTAAATGCCACACAAGGGACACAAGCGTAGCTATCAAACAAGCTATTACTCAGGCTCTAAATGCCGCACAGGGACACAAGCGTAGCTATCAAACAAGCTATTACTCAGGCTCTAAATGCCACACAGGGACACAAGCGCAACTATCACACAAGTTATTACTCAGGCTTTAAATGTCGCACAAGTGTATCTAGCAAACAAGCTATTACTCAGGCTCTAAATGCTTCACAGGGACACAAGTGTAGCTATCAAACCCGATATGTATTACATACTTATGTAAAATGTTAGGTTTTTTACTAACATTTTAATTTTAGTTATTCTAGACTTTAAATTTAATTTTATAGTTTAAATCTCCATTAATGGCGTAAGTATACTTTATGCACTTTGTCTTTTCACGATTGGTTAATTTGTTTTTCTCATTTTTTTATTTAATAAATTAGTAAGTCTACTTGAATCCTGTTTCTAAAATGTTTGGGGTTTGACCATCTTTTATTTGTCATTATTTTCTCAATCAATTTTTAGGGTTTTTCACCATTTTTAAATGATTTTGTTAATATTTGTTATGCGTCAAATAGGATCGGGTTTCTAAGATGTTTAGGATTTTTTTTCAATCTTTTAACTGATTTTATTGATTAATTTTGAGTTTTACCATCTTGTGTATTTTTTATTAACTTTTTTATCTCATGTATCGTTATCATAGAAATTCAGCCCACACTCCACGCCTCCACCCCCCCCCCCCCCTCGTTTTCTTCGTACTTTGGATCCCCAAGAGCCCTCTCAGGCCGATAAACATACATATCTATATCATACATTAAATATATTTTCGATCTGTAAGTGAATACAAGTATGAATAATGATGTATAAAACCAGTGAACCTTGAAGTGGGAGCTCATAGATATATCATAGTGAGGATAGGAAAAATTACCATTGATATATCATAGTAGAGATAGGAAACATTACTATGGATGTATTGTAGATTAAAGGTATGAAACTGAACCATAGATATTTTACAGTATAAATAGGAACCTGAGAACTATAGATTATTATAGTATAGATAGGAAACTGTACGCTTTAGATATATTATAGTATAGATAGGAAACTGTACGCTTTAGGTATATTATAGTATAGATAGGAAACTGTACGCTTTAGGTATATAATAGTATAGATAGGAAACTAAGCTTTAGCTATATTTTAGTATAGATAGGAAACTGTACGATTTAGATATATTATAGTATAGATAGGAAAATGTAAGCTTTAGATATATTATAGTATAGATAGGAAACTGTACGATTTAGATATATTATAGTATAGATTAAACTATACGCTTTAGATATATTATAGTATAGATAGGAAACTAAGCTTTAGATATATTATAGTATAGATAGGAAACTATACGATTTAGATATATTATAGTATAGATAGGAAANTACTTCAATGTTGTTTTTTATTTTAAAAACTTTTTAAAAAAAATTTTAAATCAAAAGTGAATTTGAGAATTTTTATCTAAAAAATGCCTCATAGTTTGACTTATTTTAACCCTTGTTATGAGTTATGACTGTGATTAATATTCATCCATTTTATTCATTGATATTTGGATCCAAGATATATTTAAAAATCACACACCATGAACAATTTCTTTAGCTATAAAATTAACCCAGGAAGCCCAGTGCCTTCTCTAACATGGTTGTGGAATAAACAGAATATAGAGGGAGTCAATCAGGTAAAGTATATATATATGAAACATGATTTGAATACAAAAAACTTATTTTCTCATAAAAATGTAATCACTGTATGCCTATTTGGCTGTTTGTTTGTCCGGTCATAACTCCCGGGGCCGCTAGAGTAATTATATAAAATTGTATCTCTAGCTGTTTTTCTGTCCGATTATAACTTTTGAACCCTTTTGATTTTGATTTGGGATTTCATGAGAACCACATGTAAACGGCGGGAGTAACTATGACACGAACCTCTGACCCTTTGATAAAAGTAAATTAAACCTAAAGTCTGACCGCGTCAATCTTGTTGCACCGGCTAGTCCTATTGAGTGTCTGCTTTATTTACCCAATGTCCGGGCGATACAGTACAAACTGGGAGCAGAAAGGTTGACCCGGCTCGGAAATTCAAATGTACTACGGCTGCACGTG